GGCGGGCGGGACCTGTCGGCTGGTGCAGCGGCCCTGCTCCCCTGCGGCCACTGCCAGGCACTGCCAGGGCGGCGTATGGGCCTGAGGGTCCTCTATGCCCTGCTCTGGGTCCCGGGACAGCTCCCGGCCTCTAGCTGTGTTTTATTATTGTTATTTTCCAAAACCATCGGAGGGGTGGGGGCGTTGAAAGGCCATTTCGCAGAGAGTGGGATGAACGCACCCACTCGCTGCTCCGGAAGCCGCCCTCGGAGAGGCCAGGGCCTCTGTACAACCATGTGGTGCTTATCTGGGCTCAGGGTGCCCCAGTCCCCGACCACGGGAAACCTGGGCAGTTCCGTGACGTCAGTGCACGTCCCAGCCCAGGTTCTGCTGAGAGCGGGACCTGCTGACAGCCTGCTTGCCGACACCCCTCTGTGGGCCGGCCGGGCGGGCGTGGCCGGGAGCCAGCTGAGAGACGGCTATTGTGCGTTCTCAGGCCAGGCCATCGCCCGCCTCGCCGTTTCCTCCCCAGCTGCCCACACTCACAGGCTGACAGTGACCCTGGGGCACGTGGGGACACCTAACCTGACCATCTACGGGGAAATAAAACAGAGAGCAGACAGGCGGCCCAGACGTGGCCGTGTGGCCGGCTCTGCACAGGGACGCAGTCGCCGCGGTGCCCGTCGGTTTTGTCACAAACTCACGACATCAGGGTGTCAGCCATGCTTGAGGGGGACCCCTTGCCATGTCTTGCCCATGGTGGCACCTGGCATGGTCCTGGCAGGGGTAGCGTGTGCCGTCGGCTCGCAGTGGCTGCAAGGGCCCGGGTGGCCAGGCACAGCAGGCTGAGGGCTGCGTTCAGGCGCCGTCGCCGCGGTGCCCGTCGGTTTTGTCACAAACTCACGACATCAGGGTGTCAGCCATGCTTGAGGGGGACCCCTTGCCATGTCTTGCCCATGGTGGCACCTGGCATGGTCCTGGCAGGGGTAGCGTGTGCCGTCGGCTCGCAGTGGCTGCAAGGGCCCGGGTGGCCAGGCACAGCAGGCTGAGGGCTGCGTTCAGGCGCCACCAGTCGTGGCAGGCTGATGAGGAAGGCAAGTGGCTGGGGGACAGCATGACCTGGCGCGCGGTTTTCCGCCCGGCCCCCCTGACGCTGTCCCCCTGTCTCCTTGCAGTGAACGAGGTCATACGCAACGACCTGTCCAGCGCCCAGCCGTAGCCACCCTCGGCCGGACGCTGTGCTCTTCCTGGCATCGTGTGTCGCAGAGGAGACTGAGCCCACTTCCTGAGGGGCTGAGGACTTCCAGTTCTGCGTGTGGGACAGGGCGAGGAACGGCACAGGCAGCCGGGGAGCCACAGCCATCGCCAGCAGCTTCCAGAGATGGCCTCGCTCCTGAGGCCCTGGCGTGGCCCTCTAGCACCCCGGTCTCACTCCTGGAAGTGCCTTATTTAACCAGACTGCCACCTGGGCATGAGAGCGGAGCGGTGCATCTGCCGGAGTCTGCCACGCATGGTGCCCTCCGTGGACAGCCAGGGGCGCTGCTGGGCGAGGGCTCTGAGAGCAGCCCAGCAGGGTCCCCCGCCCACCGTCCTGGGTGTGCCCAGCTCTGCCACCTCACAGTGCCCTCAGCCTCTCCTCCGTCATGGGCGCGGGACTGTCAGCGGCACCGTGCCAGCAGTCTGGCCACACTCTGGCTTTCGGACACGGCCCAGGCCAGGTGACTAGCACGAGGCCAGTTACTGGACAGAGAGCAGCCCCTGCTCCTGGTGGGCTGTGCACCGCATGTATGCACACACGTAACTGCCTATTTATGTATCAGTAAGAAGTGACAGAGACCACGAAGCCCGCTCTTCGCCCCGCGTGGGTTTCCCGTCAGCAGTGGCCAGGACCCACTTTGGCAAGCACACAGGCCCCTCTAGACCTGGCTGTGCAGCCTCTCATCGGGCATCACCCTCAACAGAGAGGTGCATTTGAAATACGCAGGCCACCACATAGCCGTCAAAATCGGACCGTGGTTGTAAATACCATCACAGAGGAGTGTAATATATCTGTTCAGCTGTAAGATGGTTTCACAGAAGCCTTACAGCTCTGCTTCATCTAAGAAAACAGTCACCAAAAACGTTCTCCGGCAGCCTTTCGGAGTAGCAGTGTCGCAGGCCAGTCCACAAAGGTAACTGCGGGTTACAGTCGCACTAGCCGCTGGTCGCCAACGGCTGATCTGACGGCGGTGCCCTCGGAGACGCCGCCCC